TTCCTGCTGTCCAGCTCATTTATTTTACAAGGCATTGTTAGGGCTATTATAAACAACAATTCGGTAGTGATCTACGAAACGTGCCCTGCCCCCACGAAAAGCAGTTCCTTGTGAAAGGAAGAAAAAAGAAAACAGGAAAAGTTTTGAAATCTCCTGACAAGTAGCTGAAAGAGGCAGGCCATGAGCTGCTGCTAGAGTGGCCTGGTGGGTTTTAAGATGTCTGAAGTTGCTTTTGGACCATTATTTTTGCAATCTTCTCTTCTTGATGTGTTCTTTTCAATACAATGGACAGGGAGACGGCATGTAGGTTTCAGCCCTTAAATGAACACGAGGGACATACAGAGTGTGGCCACAGCATCGCTAGACATGGACCAGACAAAGAGCCTCCTTGGAGAGACATAAATAAATGAAAAGGATGGAAGGACACCCCTCCTATAAATGTATCCCATGAAGGACAGTATTCTGCCATCTTCTTAAGAAAGCAAGAATAAAGGACACAAAGTATTTAGGTCAGAAGCAAAAAAGCCCCCCAGGATGGGTAACACTCCTCCCAGTGTTGCAGAACAGCTACCCAATAGCATCTGTGCACTCAAGAGTAGCCCCTCGTCATACTCTGCAGGTGAAGTTACATTTTATTCTTAACCTTTAACATGCAAAAATCCTCATTAAGCAGGTTGCAAAAGCAGCCGAGAGGGAGGGAAATGTGAGAATTTCTGCAGGTAAATAAAGAAAAATGAAAAGCTCAATGCGTTATTAAAAAAGCAGGTAAGTAGGACAGAAACCCACGTGTGCACAATGCAGGTGCACTTCTGCAACCTATGGCATGGCATTCACAGCACAGGTCACACAGTCATGCTGGCTGGAGGTGCCCCGCTCCACGAGGCAGAGAGGACAAGCTGTATGCAAGGCTAAATTCAGCCAGGCCGGTCTGCGGCCACACTGCTGACTAATCAACCTGCCTCGTTTATTACCAAGCCCTCCAGCTGCCTCGCAGCAGGCTCTCCCCATTCCCTGCCTTCCTTCATTTATTTTCACTTCATTAAAGGACAAGCAGTGTTAGGAAGAAGATAATGCTTCTGTAAGATGAACCACCAGAGAAGCAAGGAAGACATTTAAAAAAAATAAAGGGAGGAGAGAAATCAAGCATAGAAATCTCCTGCAATAAACCCTGTAAGCATGTAGCAGATGTGAACAAAGAACTGTGGAGGATGCTCGATCCTCTGCGCTTCTCCCTTCCCCCATCCTCCAAAGCCCATGTGATGAGATCACTCCAGTCGAACACACATGCATGGCACAACATAAAAGGAAATCAATATTTTCATTAACCACAAGAAGAAGTCCAAGCAGCTCAGCTGCAGGCAGCCTGCTTGACTTCACCCTTTTTGCTGGGGCAAGCAGGACACGGGCAGTGAACATGCGGCCGCCCCGAGCACCGTGGCTGCCACTGCACGTAACAGGACGAGAGACTCAGGAGGCTAGAGGTAAGCACCTGTAACAGATTTCATCTCCACAAGGTAGGCTGGTCTTTGGTTTCACGCCTCATTAGAAGGGGAAGGCTTGTGCCAGTGGAGAAGCAGTTTGCCTCACGCTGGGAGCACTAAGCAGATGGTACGTGCCGCAGGCTCCGCAGAGCACCCTCACTGCCTGACACTGTGCCCCACGAGCTGCAGGGGTGCACCCAGCAAGGAACTCTTCCTCTGCCCATCTCAGAGGTAGATTGGTAAGGCATTCTCTGCACGCTGCCAGAGGAACAAGCGGCTCTGTTTCAACCTTGCAACCACATGTGTCCCACACTCCCACCCCATCGCCAGCCTCCCAATGCACTCGGTCCTGCAATCGGCACCAGCTCACTACTGGGCCTTTGGCTGTGCCAAGCATCGCTGCTCACCTTTTTGAGGGCCTGGTTTCCGCATTATATCACCTGCTGCTGTCCTTATCCTGGGACTGTCTTGCTTTTAGATAACTGAAGATGTCTAGGACAAAAAAATAAACATGAGAAAATTCCCCATTCTGGAGTACTCAGACATTCACATTAACTAATCACACAGCAGGGAGAAAGTAGATGCTCTTTCACCCTGGGTTGCACAGAATATCTCCTACTAAACACAGACAATTCATGTCAACCCCCCTGAAACTAGAATTCTTTCTCCAACATGTGGACAACTTCAAATTTACAGCAGTAGGAGCAGCATAAATAAGTGAGAGGAGCATATGCCAGTCTCCGTGCTAACTCTACAGTGGGTCCTGAGTGTGTGCGTGGAAGGGGGGCTGCTCATGCTCACTAACAAAGGGAGGCAGAGCTGAAATTTATGAAAGAATACACACGGAAACATAACATTAGCTCTGGCAAAGCAGCACCACAATCCCCAGCTCACCACTTGCAATTCAAATTGCTTGCAGCAGTTCTGGGTAATAAGGATGAGAAATTGGACAATGACCCAGGAAATATTTTTGCTATTAGTACTGCAACAAGTGTCCAAGTTGCACTGCATTTTCTTTTCCTCATCAGAGGAAAACTGGCTGGACTGCCCCCAACAAGAAAAACCATTTGCATTCTTGTTATAAGCAGACGTTACTGAAAAGCAGAGCTCTTGGGAGATGCGTGCTGGACATGTACACGGAGACCGGTGCTCCTGCACAGCCGGTCTCACGGGGCAGCGCCTACTGCACACACCGAGCCTTGCCAAGCCCTGACAGAAAATACGTAAATGAATGGCTGAGCCACAAACAAGCCCTTAGGAAAGCTAGTAAAAGCATGTTTTGACACTACACTAACTAATGAAAGATTAGTTGTGTCAATATAACTCCATTTTGTTCACAGTGCGGCAGTCAGGCTTGGAGATGTAAGAGAATGTTGTCTTAGGATGCAATGCTGAGTTTCTGCTTAAAGAGTTATTTAAGATCAAACTCGGCAAGAAGTTTTGGTTTTGAAAACCGGCCTTTTTCCAGACGTAAGAGAAATAGAGTTCAATTTTCTATACAAGTGCTACAAACTACAGCCTTTACATGCAGTGCTTGTAACATTGAGCCATACTCCAAGAAGGAAAATACTAAAAAAAAACCTGGTTGGTTTTTAATTCAAATCAAAAGGTACATAGTCATCTCTTGTTGCCTCACTCATAAATAGCGTGTTTGTGCATACCTGTCACAGGAGTAAAGTTTACAGGAGTAAAGTTTCTTTTCCTTTAAGTAGCGGAAAATAATCTACATGTGAAACCTTATTTAAAACTTTTAATGCTTCTTTTCATAATTTTCTTCACTCATTTTTATTAAAAGCTAGCAGTCATGGTAGGAAAAGTCCCCCAGCCATAAAGCCCAGGGTGAAAGGTGTTATATAAAGGCACCAGACAAGCCCTGTACCTCTGCTGTCTGCTCAGCTCCCCCAGATGTGGGACTTTCTGAAGTACCTAAACACTACTCATAAATCTCACATGTTTGGCATGGGACGGGTGTTCTTGTGCCACTCAGATGGCTTTTGAAAAGCTGCTTCAGCCTGCACAGATGTGAGCCACCAGCCTCACTACAACCCAGGGACAGGAACCAGCCTCTGCCCACTCTTTCTTAGCCACGGAGACACAGCCTGTGTACCCCAGCCCTGCTGAAACTGGTATAAGGTGGGCTTTCTAACACAGGGTTGTGAATTGACAACTACCACTGGCTGTAATTTCATTCTATAGTTGCCCAGAGAAGCTGTAAAATCTCCATGCTTAGAGATACTCCAAGCATCACAAGCTACCACCCTGAGCAGCCTGATCTAACCTTGAAGTTGAATCTGACTTCCAAGCCAGCCCAACTTTGCATGTGGGGCTAGACCAGACAACCTCCAAAAGTTCCTTCCAACCTGAAATACCCTATAAATTTATATCACTGACAACTCATTGGAAGACAAGCGTAATTGCCCTATAAGCTTTAGCAAGCCTGTAACACCCCAGTGAAGAAGACAGACTTCAGTCTAGAATGAAGAATGTGAATGGCAGAGCAGGCAAGCTAACAGGCACTGCAGGACAGGGAGAAATGCAGTACGGATGTATGTGGTCTTTACACTGTTCAGGGACTGAAGAAAAGAAAGAAATGAGTCTTAAAGTAATAAATAGCAGAAGCTACAGTTTAGGAGGAAAGGGGGAAAAATGGGCTATCCACACAGACTTTCCTGAGTGACCTTAGACACAAACATGCCCCTGAGGAGAACATGTCGGCTGTGTCAGTAACACAAAGGAGACAATCTTACTTTTGCATCAAATAAAGCCTTTGAGATTTACATAGCCCAGCACATGCTGCAATACCCCATCTCCAGAACCTGACACTTGTACAAAGCTGCATACCAGAGTTAAAACTCCCCTTTTCAAAAGCTGTATTTCTCACGCTTGTGGCTGTCAAGATAATCTTACAAGCACAGACCACAGTTCTATGTGGTGTTCGTTTCCAGAATTTATACCCTGAAAGGGCAGATCAATATGCAAATTCACTACAGCAGGATGCTACCTTAAAATCTAAAAAGGCCAACTGATTTGCTGCCTTTTGTAGCAGATAAAGCGCGTTTCCCACAGTTTCAAACAACTTCCACTCACCAAGATATCAAAAGTGCCAGCGGCTCCACTGAACTGTCACGGGCTCTAGTTCCCCATCATTCCTACAAGACAGCAAAGTCAGTACAAATACTGCGACATATCAAAACCTGAAAGCATAGAAACAAAATGAAAAAGTTTGCATTTAATTGCAGAAAGGCTAGGTTACCAGCTGCATTATTCATGTTCATATTTAATTCATTTAAAACATCCAATTTTAAATTTAAGACAGCTGCAACAAGCATTCCCACTTGCCATAGCAAAGCAGCACAGAACTTGACACAATTTAAGTTCAGCTTGCAATGAGTACACAGGACCGCAGCTGTTAAACACCTTTGATATAAGATCACATCAACTGAGTTGATATAAACTAGTTCGGCTTTTGTAAAAAGAGACCATCACATAAAGAAGCATTTTAAAGACTAGACCTGATTAGTAATGAAAAGGAGAGAGACCACAGGAGAAGCGTATAAAATAATGAACATCATGAAGGGAGTGAATTGGGGACTCCAAATTACCCCCTTCCACAGTGCAGCAGGGCAAACCTGTAATACTAAAAAACCCAAGTATATACCACGGAAAAAAAAAATTTTGTTTATTGGAAATAAACACACATGCAATTTCCTCATGGAGGATATTATCAAGACAAGTAAACAAGTAACACTGAAAAAGGACAAAGACATTCAAAAGCAAAACAGCCTTTATAACTGTATTAAAGAATGAAACGCACAGGCCATTGGTACTTACACCTCAAGCAAAAGCTGACTAAAAGGTGGGGTGACCACCCAAATTGGGCCCACCACATCCCCGCATTAGCTGATGCATTTTGGCAACCAAAAGCTGAGCACTTGCCTCCCTGCCAGGCTGCCAGAACCGGGTCATGGCCAGAGGCCACCAGCTTGAGATGCAGCTTTGTTAGCACCCCAATGACCCCTTGCATTGGTTTACACCGAGATTTACACCTCGGATGTATTTTCCTCTTTCTTGTTCAAAAAATAAAGGCAGCACAGAGGCAGCCAGGGCTGGGAAGAGCATCCCAGGGCATCCCCAGCTCAGACCCCTGCCCTCTCCAGCAGCCACACCACACAACCCTCAGCACAAACATCACTGAAATGCATCTTAATCTAATTAAGTTCTCCCCCCCCACTGCTCTTACCAACAGGCTCTTTCAAACGCTCATCTTTATCATCCCTAAGGGGAGAATGATTCAATTTACCTGTGCCAGATTGGAAGGGACCTTCAGGGTTATAGGGCAGCCTGCTCTGCAGTATTCTTCCACTAAATGTTGCAACTGCAATGTCAGTAAAACAAAAAGTGAGAAAATGTGGGTGGAAGATACTGTCACAGCTACACAGACCTCATAAGATGCATGTAATCTCTTTAACTACAAAGCCTCCGCTCCTTCAGAGTGCATAATTATGAAAAGAGTTAAAGCTGAGGTTCTTAATGTCTCTTCTAGGCACTTCTTTATTCCACTAAAGGCACCACTCACATCTGAATTATCTCCTGGGGTTGTTTGGACTTCCTATTATATGAGGAAGATTATGGTGAGCCTTGGGATGGAGGCCAAGACCATTCACAGCACTACCATGTTTGATTGAAAGGGTAACTGAAGTTTTGTTGACAGCGTGCCAAGCTTCAAACCTCTTCGGACAATGCAGTTGCCAGCAGGCAAGATGTCTTCAGAAAGAAGAGGAAGAAAACTACCAACAGTGAAGCTCAAAATGTTTTTATTAGGTCGGATACATACCCCAGAGATTAGGATCATGGAAAAAAAAAAAGAAAATTGCATATTGCCAGAGGACTGTGAGAATGATGCTTCTTGGAAATCCCATGGGACAGCAACAAGAGACTCCTGATAGTTTCTCATAATGCAAAATGCCTGCAGTCATTGATTTGTTTCCCCACAAAAACATGGGTCTTGAGCACCATGACCAGTCTGGCTAGTAAAAAACCCTTCCACATAGCCTCTGCTTCCACTGAGTTTTTCTTCATGGGTATTTTTCCATCAAACACTATCAATGTTTCCAATAACTAAGCTATCCCTTACAAATTATCTCCAGAAATGTGAGGGCAGCACTGTAAGTACCTGCCCTTCAAGGGTGATGGCAGTGCTGCCGTTCCAGCCTCCCAGCTGGAGACTGGGGCCGTGCAGGTCCAGTTTCAGCACCGTTCTGGAAGCCCATACATGCACCAGAGGTTATACAGGAGTGCCCAGTTTCACCCCGACTCAGTCAGAAAACCAGGCACAAGAGACATGATGAGCAGATGCGTATAACCACCTCAACCTGCTCATTTAACATCTTTTTTTGCCATTTTTAATTTCTATGGTGGAGGCACAGAAATTA